ATGTGGCTACGGCAACACTGGCATGTGTTTACTACAGGGCTCATGAGCAAGTCAGCACCAGGGTGGAATGATTGTGCCTCAAAAAACCATTACACATTCACATGGGGGCCGTCCGCAAATGCTAGTCTTCAGTTTATGTATTCGGGTAACTTGTTATTTGTGCGCGATTGGTAAAACCTGCATCGCGAAAGGCCGGCGATTGGGACTGCGATTGGGGTAACATCTACATGTTTGGGTGACCCCTCATTGGAAGCGCAAAACATGTTGTTACATCAAGGGTTGGTTGTCGCCCTTACATATTTGCAGACCCCGCTCCCCTGTAGACAGGGAGATGCGCAGCACCTTGTCGGCGACATGTCTGACACTCACACAAGCTTGCAGTGGACTTGTGGTAGACACCTTGCCTCAGCCCCTCAGCTAGGCAGTGTAACGGCCATACCAGTCTCACCAGGAAAGTCGGCGAAATTCGCGATTGGCCCGCGATTGTACGGCGATTGGCCGGCGATTGACGAGCCCGTCAGGACCAGAGGGTGCCCTTCCGTGGCCTTCGCTCATGGCGCTGCTGGTGTTGCTGCTGCTGGCACTGCTGCTGGTGCTGCTGCTGCTGCTGCTGCTGCTACTGCTCCTGCTGCTGCTGCTGCTGCTGCTGCTGCTGCTGCTGCTGCTGCTTCTGCTTGTGAGATGGGAAGAAGTTACCAAGTTTGCTCCGCGATTGGCCCCGATTGGAGCGCGAAAGGCCGGCGATTGGAGGGTTTCCGGGAAAAGTAATATTGGATAACTCCCACATGACTATGCGCAAAAGTGGCGACCCCTGAAAATGGTTGGTTGCAGGATGGCTTCTTTGCAAATCTGACTTTGTCTCAGCTACATGATTCCTACGCTCGTTGGGTACTCTGCATGCATCATGCTGGCACTTGCTTTTAGGTTCACTGGAGTTAAAGTAAAGGATGTATGGTTGTTTAGCAGGGGTTTGCAGTGAGGCCTTATGTCGATATTTTGTTTTGAGCTTGTAAAAACTGGTGGGAAACTCAACGGGTTGTGCTTTCTGGTTAGGGGTTTCTGCTGTTTGAACCAACGGTCTCAGTCGATTTTGGGCCCTCCGCTTTCCCTTGCCACAGCTGAAGGCACTTCTGCGGCCCGACGGCGTGTGCGCAACTCGGCGGCGATGCGTTGCCTCCTTGACATCTTGAATCCGGCCCAAACCTGCTCGCAGAGAGAGGCTTTCCTCTACTTCTAAGATAGTTTTGCTTCTGTTAACGGGTTGAGCACAGTTCTGGGTTCAGTTGGCGAGTCCGAGAGAGTGTGGGTTTCAACTAGTATCTACGTTTGAATTTGTGAGGATCGGCCAAGACGGTCACGTGCTTCGCTAGCAGTTTCGGGGGCTACTCGAGTCAAGTGCAGGGCCGAAAGAATCTATGTACATTAGAAGGTTCGACATTTTTTTAATGCGCTCCAGTCGTTTGTGTTGGGACCCTTTCCTGCATGATCAAGGCTGGTGGGAGCTTTGCCAGACCTGCGATCGGGCATGAGATCCTTTGAGGCGCAGGGGCTGTCCATTTCGAAGTGTGCCACTATGCAGGATCCTGCTTCGCTCTGATCTGATCCTCAACAATGGTCGGTGGACAGTAATCCTCATGCAAATGATGAAGTTATTGCTGATGTGCATCAAGCCAACGACGTATATCATTTCGAGGCCGAAGAACCTGGTAGTTGTGACTCACATCGATAGATAATGGCCCTTAGTTCAGGCTTGTGAATAAATCTACCGACATGATGTGGTGAGTAAACATGCCCAACGCTGGTGAATGCAACATTGTCAGCTTGTACTTTGTGGTGTGCTTTACCCGACGAGGGGTGGCAGGGATTTACAAGGTATTTGGCAACAGAAAGGAGAATCATTCACAGTGCGCTTGAACTTGCTTGAACAACCGGACCATGGTCCGCTTGAAGTAGGGGTAGACATGTTTAACCAGGCAGTTGGCCCAACCCTTGGGCGGGCTCCATTGTCCACGTGTTTTCTTGCACAGGGCACAGGAAGACGTTTTTGTGATACTCTGTTATCCTTTGGACTGGACAGTGCCGTATGGAACCCTTTCCTTGTCGCTTCCGCAGGAGGATTTGGCAGTCCGCGGGCTTTCTGGCACCGAAGTCGTACTGGACCAGGAGCCGAATGGGGACTCGGTTGTGTCGTACGGAGTTGGACCCCGAGATCAGTAAGTATGTTTTGCGGAAAGTGCCCAATACGGGATTTCCTCTCTTTTTTGTTGAACATATATGTGTGATTTGTGTTTTTGGCATTGTTGAGCATGTTCACGTTTGTTTTCTTCTTTTGTGTATATATCTTCATGCATGCGCATTCATAGTCGCAGCTTATGGTTTTTGCGTTGATACTTGTTCATACCTGGATGTGATTAGACACTCCAAACATGTTTGCCCTCTCTTTGAATAGCAGCTTGAACATTGTAGAACCGGCCTGACTCCACAATGGAGGCTTAGTCAAGTCACAGACACAACATGGCACAACTCTCCTTCACTGTCTGCATTGTTCCCAGAGATGTTGTCGTTGTTTTGTGTTGAGTTGGCTAATTGACCCAGTCGTTGAGCAAGCAACAGAAGGGTCCACTGACAATTCCACCCAAGGAACTCTACCCGATCTTCTGGAACGGGAAACCCTTAGCCTCGATTTGAAGAAGAAAACCAGCGCGGCCTTTCAGCCCATGTCACAGTGGCGTTCCTCGCTTCAGTGATTGTTAGATGCAGTTCCATATTCGGCGCAACAGGATATGATCGCGGCTGCTTCGCGGACCTACGAAGAGGACCGCACTTTGCCATGTGTTTGCTCTACGTACCCAATTCACAGGGCGAAAGTTGTTTGCAAAACATAGGTTTGACGTACCAGACCATAGAATCCTGAGGAAATCAGAACCTTGTAGCCATAAAGGAGGATTCCAAACAGGTGGTTGATCTAACCAGTGAGGGCCCTTCCTTCCTGTGTATTTGGAGCTGGTCAAAGGTTGCCTTGAAAGTAAATGAGCAACGCTTGAAGATCTGGGGCACACCCCTGCAGATTAACGCGGACCCTTCAACTGATCTCATATTTGGAGATGTCTCCTTTTTTGGAACACCCTTTCCGCAAGGCGCATTTCCCCTTTTTGTTGGGTGGGTCCTTACAAACAATGGTCAGCCCCCCAGTTTCCTGGGGTGGCTGCTTGCCACTTGGGTACTCGGTGCTGCTCAGTCGCTGCCGGGCCTAGCTTTGAACAGTTCTATGTATACAGAATATATTTCAGCATGAACCGGCCATCTCACATGCAAGGCTCTGGCCAGTCGCAATCGTTCCTGAGAAAAACACTTTAATCTCATTAGAGAGGATGTTGGTCTCATCAAGGGATATGTGAGGATTTTACTCTGAACAACACCTCAGCCAAAAATCAAAATGGCCCTTTTTCCAGCTATTGGATGGCCACAACCATCCACCTGACGGGCATTCTGAGTGAGAAGCGACCTCGCGTAGTCGTTCGAATTGTAAGCATGAAACCAAATTGATCTGTTTGCAGTGACATGTATACAATATGAACTCGGATATATATATATATATAATGTATATTCACATGAGTTTTCAAATATATTTTGTTATTTGAGCCGCCTAATATCTCTGGCTTCGTGTTTGAGGGTGAAGGGATTAGGATAGTTCAGGAATGTTCCTAGATCTGCCTATATGTCAACATCAATTTTGATTGACCGTGCTGAGACCATGCCGTTGCAAGGATGCCCTAGGTTTGGTCGCTGGTGGTCCGGCGGAGGCTGAGGGGAATTGTCATCGGATTTGACCTGGGAAGATGTTCCAAGCGCAACTTGTTGCATTTGAACATATGCCCGTTTGAAGCAACTGATGCATTGGTCGGTCCCTCATTTTGGACCCACAGCGATTGCGTGGCGCTGAACGAGTGTGTGTGTGTGTGTGATGTGTGCAAGAGCTGGGGAGGGTTCATGAATTCTGATGTATTGCCAGTTCCAGGAATCGAAGAAAGACTCCATGGAGGTACGCAACACATGGATCATTTGGAGTCTGAGTTTGATTTTGGTCTTAATTCCAGCTGGTCGAATCCTCTTTCACGGGATGCAACACATGGCAGATGTGGATGCTTCTTGGGCACTCCTTCCTGGCTGGGAAACAGTGACAGACCAACTCTGTGTGTCGCCCAGGTTTGGGGGCACCCATTTGTCCCGCCGTGGCCGGACCTTGCAGCTTTCTGAATCAAGCCATTTGTCCGCTTGAGTACTCTCTCTTCATGTGGGACGATCAGATTTAGCGACATGTGCCACACGTAACTTGCGCTGCTTGCAGGGGTACCGCGTGATGATGTGGCGATACACCGAGCAGGCCGCCTGATGGGTGCTTTGTGTTGTTTGCTGGACACATCACTTACAGCTTGCATTCTTGCTGGGTGCAAGTACTTGCTCACCTTGCTGCCTGTCAGTCGTAGCTCAAGCAATGAATTCATGAATCATAGCAACAGCTTCAGCCAGTCGTATCCAGTCATATCCAGGTCACCCAACCATCTTCCGGCTTTGCAAACTCAGCTCAGCCGCCAACCGGCTCGCGTTTCATCATGCCGGAGTCAGTGGCGCCCTCCGAGCCAAAGCCGAAGTCTGCGCAGCCCAAGGAGCTCCGGGGGGGGATGGAGAGGGACCTGGGTTTGTGACCAGATGAAGCGTGCGAAATGGCCCGTAGAAATTCCACCCCCGAAAAAGGGCACGCCCACCTCGTGGTGGAAGCTTTGTCCCCGAACTGAGTAAAGATGTGAGGCTTTGACAAACATAGGGGCCCCTTCGAACCTTTGTGTCATTGGCCGCCTAAGGCAAAACAGGACATGAGGCAGTCCTCAAACCCGTCAGCCGCACGCACGCGCTACATGCGTCAGGTTCAGCCTCGCACGGCGACGCCCCCGCGGACACGGCCTGCGCCAAATGGGGACGCGCCCAAGGCGGCGACGCTTTGGATGCGCAGAGGGTGCCGTGAGCAGTGCCGGAAAATAGATATCTAAGATGAGTTTGTCTCGCCATAGAGAAACCTCTCACTATTCAAAACACCTCCAACATGGATCGTTTCCTTTAGCATCCCTTTAAATTTCGCTACAACCCAACCAAGGGTAGGCTTTAAAGATACAACGTACATATACATATATAGACATAATAATAATAATAATAATAATAATAATAATAATGATCATATCACTAATAATAAGAATAATAGAAATAATAATAATAATAGTAATAACAATAATAGTAAACCAACTAATAATAATAATAATAATAATAACAATAGAGGGCGGGTCGGCATGGGGGCTGCGTTTCTCGAATTCCTGGGGGCTGTGTTTTTTCATATTCCTGGGGGCTGCGTTTTTTCAGATTCCTGGGGGGCTGCGTTTTTTGCAGCACGGATATTTGATTTTCGGTCTTTTGGTTGTGTGATGGCATGCAAGTACAGGCCCTTTTTTTCCAACTGGAGCCGCAGATGCTTTCTCGCCTTGAAGAATGCATGTTGGGAAGCTAAACTTCGATTATAAAGAAGACAGCCTGAATTACAATCAGGCCTTGGCAGGGCTCTTCAACATCCCACACTTCTTGGCAGGGCGCTTCAACACTCCATTCCCTTATTTAGTTGCCTAGTTAGTTTGATAATGCTGAAGGTATTCCCCGAATATTCCGCTTCCTTTACTAGTGAAATATTTGGCGAACACCAGCGGGGTAGTGAGGAAACACTAGGGATATACCAAGAGAATACTAAAGGAAAACTAGGGCGATGCTAGGGGAATACTAGGGCAATACTAGGTACATACTCAGGGGATACTAGGGCAATATTAAAGGTGAATACTAGGATAATACGTGGGAATACTGAAGGGAATACTGAGGGTATACTCTCAAGCTCGATCTGTCTGACTTCTCTCAGGCTTCCTGACTAGGGCAATACTCGGGCACTACTAGGGAAGTACTAGGGAAGTACTGGGGGAGTACTAAAAGTGAATAGTGGAAGAATTCAGGGAGAATACTGACAGAAAACTTGGAGTATAATAACAGAATACGTAAGGAATACCAGGGCAATACTCAAGGTATTCCCCTAGTAATTCCATCCCTTTACTAGGGGAAATAGCAAGGAAATTCTATGGGGTAGTGAGGAATACTAGGGGTATACCAAGAGACCATTAAATTAATTAAATACTAAAACAATAATAGGGGAATACTAGGGCAATACTAGGGCAATCATAGGGCAATACTACGGAAATATTCAGGGAATACTCGGGTAATATTAAAGGTGAACCTAGGAGAATACTAAGGGAATTTCTGAGGGACCACTAGGGGTATACCAAGATAACATTTCAGGAATAAGGCAATGCTAAGGGTATTCCCCTAGTAATTCCATACCTTTACTAGGGGACATAGCAAGGGAATACTATGGGGTAGTGAGGAAATACTAGAAGTACACCAAGGGACTACTGAATTAATTGAATGCCAGGGCAAGAATAGGGGAATACTAGGGCAATCATAGGGCAATACTAAGGAAATATTCAGGGAATACTCGGGTAATTTTAAAGGTGAACCTAGGAGAATACTAAGGGAATTTCTGAGGGACCACTAGGGGTATACCAAGATAACATTTCAGGAATAAGGCAATGCTAAGGGTATTCCCCTAGTAATTCCACACCTTTACTAGGGGACATAGCAAGGGAATACTATGGGGTAGTGAGGAAATACTAGAAGTACACCAAGGGACTACTGAATTAATTGAATGCCAGGGCAATAATAGGGGAATACTAGGGCAATCATAGGGCAATACTAAGGAAACACTCAGGGAATACTCGGGTAATATTAAATGTGAACCTAGGAGAATACTAAGGGAATTTCTGAGGGAACACTGGGGGTATACCAAGATAACATTTCAGGAATAAGGCAATGCTAAGGGTATTCCCCTAGTAATTCCACACCTTTACTAGGGCAAATAACAAAAATACTATGGGGTAGTGAGGAAATACTAGACGTACACCAAGGGACTACTGAATTAATTGAACGCCAGGGCAATAATAGGGGAATACTAGGGCAATCATAGGGCAATACTAAGGAAATATTCAGGGAATGCTCGGGTAATATTACAGGTGAACCTAGGATAATACTAAGGGAATATCTGAGGGACCACTAGGGGTATACCAAGATAACATTTCAGGAATAAGGCAATGCTAAGGGTATTCCCCTAGTAATTCCACACCTTTACTAGGGGAAATAGCAAGGGAATACTATGGGGTAGTGAGGAAATACTAGAAGTACACCAAGGGACTACTGAATTAATTGAATGCCAGGGCAAGAATAGGGGAATACTAGGGCAAACATAGGGCAATGCTAAGGAAATATTCAGGGAATACTCGGGTAATATTAAAGGTGAACCTAGGAGAATACTAAGGGAATTTCTGAGGGACCACTAGGGGTATACCAAGATAACATTTCAGGAATAAGGCAATGCTAAGGGTATTCCCCTAGTAATTCCACACCTTTACTAGGGGAAATAGCAAGGGAATACTATGGGGTAGTGAGGAAATACTAGAAGTACACCAAGGGACTACTGAATTAATTGAACGCCAGGGCAATAATAGGGGAATACTAGGGCAATCATAGGGTAATACTAAGGAAATATTCAGGGAATACTCGGGTAATATTAAAGGTGAACCTAGGAGAATACTAAGGGAATTTCTGAGGGACCACTAGGGGTATACCAAGATAACATTTCAGGAATAAGGCAATGCTAAGGGTATTCCCCTAGTAATTCCACACCTTTACTAGGGGAAATAGCAAGGGAATACTATGGGGTAGTGAGGAAATACTAGAAGTACACCAAGGGACTACTGAATTAATTGAATGCAAGAATAGGGGAATACTAGGGCAATCATAGGGCAATACTAAGGAAACACTCAGGGAATACTACGGCGATATTAAAGGTGAACCTAGGAGAATACTAGGGAAATTTCTGAGGGAACACTGGGGGTATACCAAGATAACATTTCAGGAATAAGGCAATACTAAGGGTATTCCCCTAGTAATTCCACACCTTTACTAGGGGACATAGCAAGGGAATACTATGGGGTAGTGAGGAAATACTAGAAGTACACCAAGGGACTACTGAATTAATTGAATGCCAGGGCAAGAATAGGGGAATACTAGGGCAATCATAGGGCAATACTAAGGAACCACTCAGGGAATACTACGGCAATATTAAAGGTGAACCTAGGAGAATACTAGGGAAATTTCTGAGGGAACACTGGGGGTATACCAAGATAACATTTCAGGAATAAGGCAATACTAAGGGTATTCCCCTAGTAATTCCACACCTTTACTAGGGGACATAGCAAGGGAATACTATGGGGTAGTGAGGAAATACTAGAAGTACACCAAGGGACTACTGAATTAATTGAATGCCAGGGCAAGAATAGGGGAATACTAGGGCAATCATAGGGCAATACTAAGGAAACACTCAGGAATACTAGGGCGATTTTAAAGCCCCCTGAACCTAGGAAATTACTAGGGAAATTTCGGGGGAAACAAACTGGGGGTATACCAAAGGTACATTTCAGGAAAGGGGATAAGGCAATACTAAAGGGTGATTCCCCTTAGTAATTCCACCCTTTACTAGGGGAAATAGCAAGGGAATACTATGGGGTAGTGAGGAAATACTAGAAGTACACCAAGGGACTACTGAATTAATTGAATGCCAGGGCAAGAATAGGGGAATACTAGGGCAATCATAGGGCAATACTAAGGAAACACTCAGGGAATACTAGGGCGATATTAAAGGTGAACCTAGGAGAATACTAGGGAAATTTCTGAGGGAACACTGGGGGTATACCAAGATAACATTTCAGGAATAAGGCAATACTAAGGGTATTCCCCTAGTAATTCCACACCTTTACTAGGGGAAATAGCAAGGGAATACTATGGGGTAGTGAGGAAATACTAGAAGTACACCAAGGGACTACTGAATTAATTGAATGCCAGGGCAAGAATAGGGGAATACTAGGGCAATCATAGGGCAATACTAAGGAAACACTCAGGGAATACTAGGGCGATATTAAAGGTGAACCTAGGAGAATACTAGGGAAATTTCTGAGGGAACACTGGGGGTATACCAAGATAACATTTCAGGAATAAGGCAATACTAAGGGTATTCCCCTAGTAATTCCACACCCACTTTACTATGGAGGAGGAAATACTAGAAGTACACCAAGGGACTACTGAATTAATTGAATGCCAGGGCAAGAATAGGGGGAATACTAGGGCAATCATAGGGCAATACTAAGGAAACACTCAGGGAATACTACGGCATATTAAAGGTGAACCTAGGAGAATACTAGGGAAATTTCTGAGGGAACACTGGGGGTATACCAAGATAACATTTCAGGAATAAGGCAATACTAAGGGTATTCCCCTAGTAATTCCACACCTTTACTAGGGGAAATAGCAAGGGAATACTATGGGGTAGTGAGGAAATACTAGAAGTACACCAAGGGACTACTGAATTAATTGAATGCCAGGGCAAGAATAGGGGAATACTAGGGCAATCATAGGGCAATACTAAGGAAACACTCAGGGAATACTACGGCAATATTAAAGGTGAACCTAGGAGAATACTAGGGAAATTTCTGAGGGAACACTGGGGGTATACCAAGATAACATTTCAGGAATAAGGCAATACTAAGGTATTCCCCTAGTAATTCCACACCTTTACTAGGGGAAATAGCAAGGGAATACTATGGGGTAGTGAGGAAATACTAGAAGTACACCAAGGGACTACTGAATTAATTGAATGCCAGGGCAAGAATAGGGGAATACTAGGGCAATCATAGGGCAATACTAAGGAAACACTCAGGGAATACTAGGGCGATATTAAAGGTGAACCTAGGAGAATACTAGGGAAATTTCTGAGGGAACACTGGGGGTATACCAAGATAACATTTCAGGAATAAGGCAATACTAAGGGTATTCCCCTAGTAATTCCACACCTTTACTAGGGGAAATAGCAAGGGAATACTATGGGGTAGTGAGGAAATACTAGAAGTACACCAAGGGACTACTGAATTATTTGAATGCCAGGGCAAGAATAGGGGAATACTGGGGCAATCATAGGGCAATACTAAGGAAACACTCAGGGAATACTACGGCAATATTAAAGGTGAACCTAGGAGAATACTAGGGAAATTTCTGAGGGAACACTGGGGGTATACCAAGATAACATTTCAGGAATAAGGCAATACTAAGGGTATTCCCCTAGTAATTCCACACCTTTACTAGGGGAAATAGCAAGGGAATACTATGGGGTAGTGAGGAAATACTAGAAGTACACCAAGGGACTACTGAATTAATTGAATGCAAGAATAGGGGAATACTAGGGCAATCATAGTGCAATACTAAGGAAACACTCAGGGAATACTAGGGCGATATTAAAGGTGAACCTAGGAGAATACTAGGGAAATTTCTGAGGGAACACTGGGGGTATACCAAGATAACATTTCAGGAATAAGGCAATACTAAGGCTATTCCCCTAGTAATTCCACACCTTTACTAGGGGAAATAGCAAGGGAATACTATGGGGTAGTGAGGAAATACTAGAAGTACACCAAGGGACTACTGAATTAATTGAATGCCAGGGCAAGAATAGGGGAATACTAGGGCAATCATAGGGCAATACTAAGGAAACACTCAGGGAATACTAGGGCGATATTAAAGGTGAACCTAGGAGAATACTAGGGAACATTTCTGAGGGAACACTGGGGGTATACCAAGATAACATTTCAGGAATAAGGCAATACTAAGGGTATTCCCCTAGTAATTCCACACCTTTACTAGGGGAAATAGCAAGGGAATACTATGGGGTAGTGAGGAAATACTAGAAGTACACCAAGGGACTACTGAATTAATTGAATGCCAGGGCAAGAATAGGGGAATACTAGGGCAATCATAGGGCAATACTAAGGAAACACTCAGGGAATACTAGGGCGATATTAAAGGTGAACCTAGGAGAATACTAGGGACATTTCTGAGGGAACACTGGGGGTATACCAAGATAACATTTCAGGAATAAGGCAATACTAAGGGTATTCCCCTAGTAATTCCACACCTTTACTAGGGGAAATAGCAAGGGAATACTATGGGGTAGTGAGGAAATACTAGAAGTACACCAAGAGACTACTGAATTAATTGAATGCCAGGGCAAGAATAGGGGAATACTAGGGCAATCATAGGGCAATACTAAGGAAACACTCAGGGAATACTAGGGCGATATTAAAGGTGAACCTAGGAGAATACTAGGGAAATTTCTGAGGGAACACTGGGGGTATACCAAGATAACATTTCAGGAATAAGGCAATACTAAGGGTATTCCCCTAGTAATTTCACACCCACCTTTACTTGGGGAGGAAATACTAGAAGTACACCAAGGGACTACTGAATTAATTGAATGCCAGGGCAAGAATAGGGGAATACTAGGGCAATCATAGGGCAATACTAAGGAAATATTCAGGGAATACTACGGCAATATTAAAGGTGAACCTAGGAGAATACTAGGGAAATTTCTGAGGGAACACTGGGGGTATACCAAGATAACATTTCAGGAATAAGGCAATACTAAGGGTATTCCCCTAGTAATTCCACACCTTTACTAGGGGAAATAGCAAGGGAATACTATGGGGTAGTGAGGAAATACTAGAAGTACACCAAGGGACTACTGAATTAATTGAATGCCAGGGCAAGAATAGGGGAATACTAGGGCAATCATAGGGCAATACTAAGGAAATATTCAGGGAATACTACGGCAATATTAAAGGTGAACACTAGGAGAATACTATGGGACTTCTAAAAAATACAAGGGGTATCGAGATGACTCCCACGGGAAGAGGATCCACATGCAAGAACAGGTTCTGAATGGCCTCTACCGCATCCTTCAACCTGACATTCTTTGGGTCGACTGAAACCATCTCAATCGAAGATAGAGAATATGTTATGTCCACGGTTGGCTTGAATATAGAGCTGGCTACGAGAGTCACAGGGTTAAAAGCATTCTGTTGCAGACGAGGATGCGGAGAAGAATCCAAAAAAAGCCTCGAGTTTTCCAAAAAACAAACACACAATTGCAGTCCCTATGTCCCCAAGCTTGCACTGCCCGGCCATAGGGCCAAAAAAAAAAAATCGAGGTTTTTGTTGGTTTTTCTTGAAAAGTGTAAAAACCCTTGAGTTTTCCAAGAAACACAAAATGCAGGCCCTATGTTCCCAAGCTTGGACTGCCCAGCCATAGGGCCTGCATTTTTTCTTTGTTTTGGAAAACTCGAGTTTTTTGTTTTTCTGAAAACTCGAGGTTGTTTGGTTTTCTGGGGGAGGGGTTTTTCAGATTATTGTGGTTTTGCCTTTTCTGGAAAAGTGTAGAACACTCTTGCCTTTTCACACTTTTCCATAAAAAACGGAGCCCCCAGGAATCTGAAAAACGCAGCACCCCCCGGGACGACCCCTTCTGTAAGAATAATACTAATACTAAAAGTAACCAGAATAACAAAAACAAATAGATAATAATAATGATAATAATAATAATCATAACAATAAATTCACATACATTATATATATATATATAATGAGCAGTCAAACTTTACCACCATCGACCGTAAGGGGGATGACATTAGGCAGCACACTATATTTTTTCTCAGCGCATCCCCATGCCACTTGGGACTTCCATGAATATCGACTGTGGTTGATACATATGAAATTGTTCATACGTCTTCCTCGAATCCCCGTCAAACCAGGTAGTAGGACATATTAAACCTCCACAAAGACGGCCAACGGATGTTGGCAAGCCGCTTCAACAATGTGTTATACTGTTTCCAACCAGGGTTGAAGCACCTAGGTCCAGCAAGCTCACCTGCAGCATTTATCATGAGCAGGGCAGGCAGATTGTCCATTGTCGAATCCACAATATCAGTCTTGTGAATCATACTTTATGGATCCGTATGGATCTTTGTCCACATGGCAGGGCACATTGTGGCAATCTCATAAGGCACAAAGTCTGGTGGCGACCTCTTGAAGGGCCAAGGGCCCTTTTCATGGGACACCCCAGACATTTTGACTTTTGGCCATGTCTTTTCTTTTCGCCCAGATCGCTCGCAAGGAAGGACCTAGAGTCCGTCTCCAAGGATGCCACGGCCAATCTCCAAGGCGAGTACGCCAACATCGGCTTGCTTTGCCTCTTGTACACTCTGCAAGGCCTGGATCCGATTTGAACACTTGTTTTTTTCAAATAGTCCCTTCCCGTTCTTGGATTTAAGTCCACCCCTATTGATAAATGTCATCCAAAATCCAAAAAGCAACATCCTGGCTTTTACTTTGAATTGACCCGATTATGAACCAATACTAAACTTGAGACAGGCCTTATTAGGGGTACTTTCAGCACCTCTTTTCTTGAAATTGTAGACCCAAATTGTAAATTGTGCTTAGCTTCGCCTTTTAAACTTCAACACGACGTGCTTATCAGGTTCATATAAATTCGTTGCTCGGCAGATTATTATTTTGCAATTTTTTGCCCCCAGTTAAACGAGGAGCGTAGTGAAAACCCTCTTGGACCCCATGGACTGTATGGGGGATGCTTGGACTGCCATAGAGGGCAGCCAAAAGGAGTTGATGTTGAATGGCAGCAGGCGTACCATGTTGAGAGTGGTGGTCCAACGGTCAGGATGTTTGCAGAATCATTGTTTGCCGCTTGCAAGCATCTACTCCTCCAAGTCCAGTTTTTGTTTAGGACACATTGGAAACTACTTCAGATGCGGGAAGATATGCTTTTGGGCAAGCAGGAAGAACATGAAGCCACCCATTCCTGGTCCCCTTAATTTGGTACACCAACCGCAAACTTGTTTCAACAAGTTTGGAATCCCATACCCTAAGCCGCCAGGCATCCCCCTGGGCTTGGGCCAGATTTTACCGCTGGTGCTCAAGGACCGCGGGGCCTCCTACACGGAGCTGGGAGTCTTTTCCCTGCAGAGCTGGCCCTTCGTGCTGAAGTTGCTGCGGCTCGCCCTTCATGGCCTTTGCCTTTTGTGTCTTGCAGTCCTTTCCTTTGCTTTGTTTTCTGCATGGCAAAAAGGGCTCCCATTGTGCTTGTGCTTGGTTTTAGTGTGTGTTGACCAACTGTTTTCCCTTGTGGGTGGTGTTCCCCCAAAGTACGCTGAAGAACACACAACCAGTATGTATGCATTTTTTTGTTTGGGGGGAGTGTTCCCTTTGAACAAAGCAACATTTGTTTCAACATGTCAGGTGCGCTCCCTCTTTTGGGGGGCAGTGATGCCGTTGGCCCGGCATCAGGGGATGTCAACTCTTGGCCCTTGACCAAACCGAAGGGGCTAGCGGGAGCCTCCAAACCAACCCGAAACTTTAACTCAGAAGCTGACTCTTTTGTGTTTCTCTTTTTTGGGCCTGTGCCCTTTGAACGAACAAGCAAACCACCAAACAGGTGTGTGTTTGTGTTTGCGAGTGTGCGTGGGTTGGTCCCCATGACTGGGAAAGTAAGGTGGGCGCCTTTGGTGGACTCTTTGTATGCCCCTCGACTGCAATGTTGGGCGATTATTAGGAGACAGCTTTTTCTCAGCTTTATCTCTGAAAGTTCTACACTTTCAACCTGAGAGAAACATATTCGTAGTTACGGCTTTGTCTCAGAGGCCGAAAAGTGTTAAACCCGCTGAGATACGGCAAGTATTGTACCTGGATCATTCCAAGATACTTTGCTTATTTAGCTCGGCTTCTTGTATTTGGGAGCACTTGTCGGCTTTTGCTGGCAGACCAACTTTTCTGGCCATGAAGAAGTTAGGTTTGGGATTCCTTTCAGACAGACTCCACCGGTAAATCCGCCAATTCGACAGGGCCTTTTTTGGATGGGTGAAAAGCACACGGCACCAGGGAAGCCGCCCAACGGTTTCGTTTGGAAGCAAAAATCCCGCTGCGCAGATCCGCAGCATTGGACGGAGAAAGACCTGGATGGTACCTGCACAGCTCATCATCGGCTTACTGCTGCTCTTCACAGCTGCACAGCTGGACTTGCTGCTGGGAGATGAGTGTCTCAAGCAAACGCCTAGTGAAGTTTTGAATTCGATCATTTATTTTGGGGTCGTTTCCATTTGGTTTTGTGTTTGTTTGTTTTTGTGTTGGTCCATGTTCATCCATGTTCGGTCTTCTTCCCTTTGGATCCCAAGGGCGCCCAAAGGTGCCAAACCTTCCAAGGTCCAACACGCCGGCAGTGTATAGCCTCACCGGCTTGTTCCTGCTCATGAACTTTGCCTGCGCCACACAGGACCAAGGTTGTGAGTCCTCTGGGAACCCTTACACCATTTTGAAGGTAAAAGGGTGGTAATGTTGAACCCTCTTTACACCACCCCCCCCCCACCGCTAGGAGTGGAACCAATCAGCGGGACCCTCTTTAAGCGAGATCCTGGGGGTCTGGGAGGGACAGTACTTACTTTAGTATTGCCAAGGCTGATCCTCAGATTCCCAGCACTTACTTTAGTATTGCCAATTCTACTTTAGTATTGCCAAGGCTGACCCTCAGATTCCCAGTACTTACTTTAGCATTGCGAATTCTACTTTAGTATTGCCAAGGCTGACTCTCAGATTCCTAGCACTTTCTTTAGTATTGCCAATTCTACTTTAGTATTGCCAAGGCTGACCCTCAGATTCCCAGTACTTACTTTAGCATTGCGAATTCTACTTTAGTATTGCCAAGGCTGACTCTCAGATTCCTAGCACTTTCTTTAGTATTGCCAATTCTTCTGTAGTATTGCCAAGGACGTTTTTGTTGAGCAACCCCCAAACAGGTTAGACACTAAAGAGGACCCCAAAACAGTCGCATTAATGAGGATCAGGGCCCCTGGTGGGCACCCACCCCCCCTTGCGTGACTGTTTGCCCGTACTTTTGTGTAAAGAAGTTATCTTAAATTTTGATGGTTTGGGGGCCACTGGCAAAATGAACTTCCTAGATCCAAGGCCTTTACCCTTAGAGCTGGGAAGAGCTAAAAGTAAAAAGCTAAGGCTTGAGTCCAATAATTTCAGCAACCCAAAAAGGCCGTTGGACACTAAAGAGAACCCCAAAACAGTCACATTAAAAGAGGCTCAGGGCCCCTTGTGGGCAACCCCCTTTGTGCGACTGTTTGCCCGCACTTTTTGCAAGGAAGTTATGCTAAAGATGGTTTGGGGACCACTTCAAAAAATCCTGGTTGCCCGGATTTGTTTGCTCGGTTTTTTTGCTCGACTTCTTTGTCAAGTTTGTTTGGCCCATATTTTACCGGAGGCTTAGCCCCAGACAAGATCAGGAGAGTAAAAAAAGCCTTTTTTTCTGTTTTTTTTTGGTTGGGGGGGAACAATTGCTGCAATTGAGGACCCCAAACAGTCACAAGATCCTGAATTGCGAACAAAATGCTACAATAGAGGGGACTAGTAATAAAGGAGGTGTAACATTAGCGAGGATTCCGTCAGTTCCCTTTGTAGGGAGCCATGTTAGCTCTCAAGTCCAGAATTCGTTGGGGGAAACCCCGCGAATCCAGTTTTTGGAGGGCGGGGTGAAAGCGAATGTTGAGAGCCCCAGGACATCGCCGTGGACGGCTGGGCATTGACCATGCTGCGGAAAGAAAACGCCAACTACCAAGCCACCTGCAATGCAGCCGCTCGGATCGGATCGGTTTGGATCGGGTGATTTTTAGCGTTGGTCCGATGTGTGCTTTTGGCTGATTCTCTTCCAGCCTCGTTTCTAAAGAGCGGACGGGTGTGGTGTTTTTGGTTGGGCCCCCCACCATTTGGTTTCCAAGGGAAGTCAAGAGGAGACCAATAATATTTTTCCCCCAATTTTGAGAAGCCCGACTCGAACGTTTGGCATTCTGATTTGTTCCTGCCGCAGACATGGCACCTGACGCAGCGAGGTTTCTCGAAGATCATTTTCCGCCAGTGTGGTTCCATGTCTCTTGAGCAAGCGTCAAGGGCCCCAGAAGTATCATGTTTTGTGGTCAGCCTCTTAGAGCCGAACCTGTTGCGAGGGAGTGCTAAACAAGACGCTGGTAAACGGGAGTCAACGTACCTTCCTGTGTTTTCCATGCCTGAAGAACGTCCAATAAGCATCAGCCCGGAACCTCCCACCCTTCAGAACTCTGCGGCAGTGGCTAAGACCCCATGTCGTAGCATGAAAGTGAGGCCGGGCAAACCTTTGGCTATGCAATGGGCTTTACCGGCTTTGCCGCCCTGGAGCATTTCCAGGCACGAGTCGCCGAAGGTTCAGCTAAGCCCTGCGGGTGCCCAACCAAATCTGGGGTTGGAAGTGAGAAGCCACAGGAAAACTGGGGCCCACGTTTTACGTTTGGAGACATACCCAGTTCTACAGATGGCAGAAGAATGGCGCGGGCAATCAGGGCAATATGATTTGTTGACTTTGCAATCCGCAATC